TATTCTAAGATAACGTGTCAGTGTATAGTTGACTCTTAAACAATGTCGGAGTTAGGGGCACTGACACTGGTGCAGTTAAAAATTCGGTGTATAACTTTTGACTCCCCCAAAAACTGACCTGTAGTGTTTCTTCATATCAGAGGGACATTGGATCCAGGACCCCCAGGATACCAAAATCCACAGATGTTTGAGTCCTTTATATAAAGTGGCACAGAAAAATGCATATGGTCAGCCTCTGCATCTGTGAATGCCCAACTGCACATCAAAAATATAGATCTGTGGTTGGTTGAACCCATGGATGGGAAACCTAGGGATACAGAGGGCCAACTATATATTTATTGAAAAAAAAAATCTGTGTATAAGTGGATCTGTGAAGTTCAACCCCATTCTGTCCAAGAATCAACTGTAGATATTGTAATTTTGAAAAGATTTTTAAAAAGATTTTTAAAAGCTCCTCTGAAATTCAAAAATTTCATTTAAAAATTTTCTACCAAGAAACTGTATTTAGGCAAAGAAGGTTTACAGAATTCTAATTCCAATAGCAATTTCTCTTTTAAATTGGCTTTTCCTTTAAATTATATCAAACTTACCACAACTATCTTAGAGGCTCAGTTAAGACTGGCCTTTATGGGATCATTTAATTCATTCCAATGACCATATTGGGAAAGTCCACACTAAACTATCAGAGGAAGACGTGTTTTTTCATTTCGTTATGAAAGATTTGACAGCAATCCTCATTAAACTACTCTAGAGTACAAATGTTCTCCTTGCATTTGAAAGTATGGTAAGTTATCATCTACTTTAGACTAATATTAAAATTATGATGCTAACATGATAGATAAAAAAGGAAATGGAATCATTGGGAAAGTCCACACTAAACTATCAGAGGAAGACGTGTTTTTTCATTTCGTTATGAAAGATTTGACAGCAATCCTCATTAAACTACTCTAGAGTACGAATGTTCTCCTTGCATTTCAAAGTATGGTAAGTTACCATCTACTTTAGACTAATATTAAAATTATGATGCTAACATGATAGATAAAAAAGGAAATGGAATCATGAGGAATTTGTAGCACACCACAGGGATAATTTGAGTAGGACAGTGTGGGCATGGGTGTGTGTGTGTGTGTGTGCGTGTGTGTGTGTGTGTGTGTGTGTGTGTGTGTGTGTGTAGTCATGCACAACAAGACTGAACTGATCACAAGTAGCAAATAACTGCTTTCCTAGTTCTCCAATGCCTTCCAATTTGGCTCTCTCACCCTAGCATCCTTACTTCAAACCAGCCAATTTTCTGTGTGTCTCATCTTGATTCATAACTTTGACACATATGAATCTCCCACAGCCTCTTAATCTCAATTGGCTGAGCAAACTAGGTCAATCCTCTGTGTTTCAAGCCCTTATTTCCCAGAATCATTCTAGGCATACTTAGAACTTCTGCTTACAGAGACTTCAAGAGTTGTCAGGGTCTATCAAGAATAAATCCAGTGGTGGTGTTCTGCCATTTATACACGTTTTTCTCATTAAAAAGCAAATTATAATTGGGAAAAAAGAATAAACCCAAAATGTTCTGAGCTAATCTTGCTTCAGGCGAGACCTAGAAATATAATTGTTTTGCTTAAATGAATTTAATATTAGAATCTAGCTGGCTTTCAGAGATCTCTCATCTTTTTTTCCATCTGCTACAAGAAGAAATCTTTCTACCATGATAATGTGTACTTCTACTTCTGTTGCTACTCTGCTATGATTACTAGTAATAATAATATGCCTTCATACATATAGCATGGATTATGTGCCACATACTACATTAAGAACTCTACATATGTAAGATCCACTTAAGTCATCTTTACAATCTTATGAGGTAGGTTTTATTATTATCCCTGGTTTAAAAATTTACCCAAGATCACACAGCTAGTAAGAGGCAGTATTGGAATTCACACCTGGAAATTTGGCTCCAGAATCCTTGCTCTTAGACACTATATCATACATCTTTTGTTTGTGGAATGCAAAGAATATTCCATCAAGACCAAGGCCCTGGGTTACCAGTCCCATCTCTAATCCTGAAATCGACTGTATGACGTAGGGCAAGTCTTTGACTCAACTTCTACTATATAATGAGCCACTTTTAGTTATAAAATGCTGTGATGATAAAGCAGGTGCTTTTCATTAACAAACTTGACTTTGCTGGATGAGGCAGGAGGTTTAAATCTTGAAAATATAATACATTTAAGAAAAGGAAAGAGGCAACTAATAACTAAGCCAATCTTCTAAGCATTTTCAGTTACATTCTCATTTTATATTCTATAATGCAAAATACCGAGACTCAGAGATAGGGTAATTTATCTAATGCCACACAGAAAATCAGGATGGAGAGCCAGCATTTCAACATAGTCAAAACCCAAGCACTTTGTGCTGCATCAAAATGCTTCCCTGACATTGTCTTTCTCTCCTCTCAGCAGCAGTAAACAGAGATTTAAAAGGGAATATATTTCGAGTACCTAGCACAAAGTCTTGCAAAGAGCAGGGACACAATAAACTAACTTGGAGGTGAGGATGGAGACAGACGGGTGAATATCAACTTAAAAGTGCTAAGAGAATATAATTTTAAACAAAAATGGATACATTTTTGTGTAACTTCTGTAGGTGAGCTGAATACTATATCTAAACAAGTGAATTTCTCCCTAATAATGAAATAACATAAGAGTTGAGTTGTTGTTGTATTTTGCTACAGGAAATAACTTCCTAACAATAACTCAGAATCATTTTGTTAAAAGAAATCTCCCTTTTTCCCTAGCCAGAATTCACAAATAATACCAATGAAAAAGGAAATTATCCTATTGGCTATTTAAAGAAAGGCAGTAAAGTCAGAAAATACTGTGCTAACTTATTAAATTCTTGTTTTGTTTTGGAAGGAAAGTCTCTTGCTCATTCACTATTCATCTGACAAATAGTAACTGAACACCAAGTATGTACAAGGTGTTACTTTATTAATAAATGTCAGGGACATTAAAAGGAACATGACATAAATAGTGATGCCAATGCAGTGGGATGAGTGCTACTATGATTATGATAAAAAGATACACAAGGTCTCATAGGAGCACAAATGCTATTTATGAAGGGTTAGAGGGGTTCCCGAAGGAATTAACTTTTGAGCCAATACTAGAGAGTATAGTGTGTTTAGGAAACTGCAAGCAATTAAGAATGATTAGAATTCAGAGTATTTGTAGGAAATGAAGTGAAGTCTTTTGATTTGATTTTGACAAATCATAATTATGTAGCTACAGAACTAGAAGTAAAAGGATTTTAACAGATCATAAGTTCAACACCTCATTTTACTTTTAAGAAAACTAAACCTTCTAATATAGTACACAGAGTCTTACCATGAAGACAATTATTACATGAGGTCAGATTGTCCTTAAACGCAGAAATGAACACCATCGTGTTTGAGAGTTAAAGCCGCTGAGTGCAGCCATGTTGAAAAACCACTAACCTTAGCATGAAAGATGTCACCTGCTATACCAGAAAATATAATCATTACTTAGAGAAATCACCTCCAGCTGATCGGATAGTGTCTACATACCCAAAAGAATAATGCGAAATCTCTAAACGGACTCTCCTTATATAATCTATGGGTCATCA